TCAACCCCGGGCACGTTTTTTCGGTGTGCCTCCTTAACGTAGAATTTTCTTCCGCCGTAAGGAGAGCTTGACACATTTTGCATTGTGCCTTTCGTTTTCCGGTTGTGAGAACCACCAAGTTGTAGTGATTCCAAATCTCGGACTTTCGTCCGTGTTCGGCGAGAACTTGGGCAACTTGTTCGTTTGATGGTTGTTTACCGGCCATTTTGTAAATCGTAAGTAAAAGAGAGAAATAAACGAGAATTGTGAAGTGGAAACGAGAAATTAATACGTAATGAATTCACAAAATGAAGCGAAAAACCGAGAATTGATAGCGTTTTTTGCGTTTTTGAATATGAGATGAGTTGGTAACAAAATAGGGAACTTCCATCTCTATTTATACTCATTTGGTAGCTTAGAAGATGAAAAAAACGGTCATAATTCGTGTATAACGGCTAGTTTGACTATTCCCAACGGCTACTTTGACTTATAACGGCTAGTTTGACAAGGTTTGACTTTTGTTGACCGGGCCGGGCCGGGCCTATAACCGGTTCCGGTCCTAGAAAATGATAAAAACTCCAACCGGTTCATAACCGGCGGTCCACAACCAGTTACTACCGGTCCCGGTCGGTTCCGGTCCCTCTCCGGTTCCGGTTCCGGTCCTCCGTCGGTTACGGGCCGGGCCAGACCCATTTGGCCATCTCTAGCTGGAACTGAACAGACAGAAACACTAATACTTCGAAAGGTAAAAGAGATAAAAATCAAATCAATGAGAGAGAAGATCAACAAAGAGCCAACATTTTTCTCAATATTGTTTGCATAATTGCATCCCGCATAGCATGATGGAATGAAAGTGACAAGAGGGAGATCACTACAAAAAAATGACTAAAAATGGAACAAACATTTTTCTCGGATGTCGACCTTTTGCTTAAGATCAAATGGTATATATTTTTAGTTTAACATATCTATCCCGAATCTTAGATTTTTTTTTTGTTTAGATCAAATATATTATATGTTCTTAATTTGATATCTAATATATGGGTTTTCAACTTGCATGATATTTTATTTTGTATATGAGAATGGTCATTATACTACTGGTGATGTAGTTATTTATCTGTCGTCTTGGTGTTACTACTATTAAGGTTTGATACATCTCTCTAATTACAATTTAAATATTATAGAATGTTACGATAAAATGTAGTATTTGTTTTTATCAGTTTAATATCTTATATGTGGGTCATCGATTCCACTAGATATTAATTTTATTTTTATGAGGAAAAATCCATTATCTTAACTTGGTGATGTGGTTTTTCATGCATCGCCTTGAACTTCTACTACTGTTGCTACAACTTACGCACTTTTCTAATTTAACTTGAAATATTATAAAACGTTTCTTTTTCATAACTTCAAATGAGATTTCAATTAAATTTGTTACAAAATAAACATCATGATTTGTCGCCTTATATGAGATTTCAGTTAGAATTGTGACTTCTAATTAAACAAACTATTAACATTAGTCAAACATTTATAGCGTACTTTGTAACACCATTCTCGAGCATAGTTAGATAACTTAAATTAGCATATGGTTCTAAGATTGTTGTCAACTTCTCTTAATTTAATGTTAATGAGTAGTTGCCACACACATTTGCCTTAACTTCTTTTAGAAGTGGACTTCAAATTTTAGTCTATAACATTTCTTTTGAAGATGCTAATATCATTACTGCACAACGTGCGGTTGAAACACTAGTTTATATAAATGTAAAAACTTTAATATCATTATATTATTGAATAATATATAAAAAACATGTATGTGTGTGTATATATGTGTGTATATATCTATACTATATTATAAAGCATTTGATAAAAACTCTTAAAAATCATTTTTTATACGTAAAGAACAGTTTATTAATGCATGTTACTTAAAACTCAAGATTGCAAATAGATTGTGCATAAGTATAACTTATTGAAGCTCTATATCTGAATTCATGTAACTAACTGCAAATAAACATAATCAAATACAGGATAAACATCACATTTTAAATATAAAAAATCTATACTATATTATAAAGCATTTGATAAAAACTTTTAAAAACCATTTTTTATGCGTAAAGTACTGTTTATTAATGCATATTACTTAAAACTCAAGATTGCAAATAGATTGTGCGTAAGTACAATTAATTAAAACTCTATATCTGAATTCGTGTAACTAATTGCAGATAAACATAATCAAATACAGGATAAACATCTCATTTTAAATATAAAAAATCTAAAATATAATTAGGATAATTATTGAATTCTAATAGAATACTTAATTATTATC